ATTGTCTCTCAAATTCAGCTGTGTTTGCAACGCCTTCTCTACTATATCCTTCTTCAGAGTATCCTCTAACTTCCATTAATTCTTTGTTCATGTAGAATTAATGTCCCAGGCAAATTTTCAATACTCAGATCTTTCAAATCTTTCATTTCTGGATTACAGCTACCACATGATCAAACTTTTAATATCTGACAAACGATAAAAATATGATTAAATAGATTATGACTTCTCCATCGTCACAAGTTCAAATTTCTTTTTCAACATCCTCAAATTATTTTATTGGACCTTGTCAATCCCTTTGCATGTTTTCTCCAATATATCCCAAATATCCTTTGTCGTATTAGCCGTAGCAATTTTTTTAAAAATTGGCATGTCAATTGTTTGATGAATCTGTGACAAAGTCAAGCTATCTTTTACTTTATCATTCTCACCAGCTTCCTAAGCAAGTGCATATTCAATATATCGATGTAATTTACATGTTTTAAGATGAGCTATGATCTGTTTCTGCCAAAATTTGAATTCAGCCTTTGTTTTCAATTTTTGAACAGAACAAATAATATTGGGGTTAGAATTTGCCATACTTCAATCTATTGTAATTCTGGTGCCACTTTGATGGATCCAAATTAATAAATACACAAAAATCCATAAGAACAATCAAGAAAAACAGATATAGAGGCAAAGAAATTCTTTATTGATGAAAATCAAGCAACGACGCAAAACAAAGAAAAAACACCGAATAGAGGCTTCTCACTATAACATCTTTATGCGTGACAGGTGTCGAACTTGTGGAATAATAAATGTCTACTCAAATAAAATACAAATTTTTGTCTATAGCGTGATCAGGGTCGAATCTACGGGGATTCGAAAAAATTAGTTTCTTCTAGAGGCTAGAGTACGAGGGTTTTTATAAAAATGAAAATAATTAAACAACTCGAATAAATATACTAAATGTCAACTTATTAAAATCAAATCAAGAACAAATAAACTCTAGCTACAAAATAACTTTGAAAATAGTTCAATTAATTGATCATTGATACAATAATAATTTCATTTACTCACTGATAAATAAGTTATAACTGCCAAACACGTGATGACAATCAATTTTCCTTACTATATTGGTGGTCAAGGTACGGCCGTTAACCACTTTTCTAATTAAGAAATAACCCTAAATACGATCTTAAAGTTCAATTTTCTAATTACCTTAAGAATTAGAGAAGCCCTGTTCTAATCAATAATACACTAAGAGGGTTATTTTAAATTAGCGCATATGTCTCCCTGACACAAATTCAATCATGCCAGTTAAACCTGACAATTATGCCCAAAACCCAATAACCCATCCAACCCACCCACTATTTTGAGAGGTTGGGTTGGGTAATTTGAGTATTGGGTCAATTTTGGGTTGGGTAATAAAAATCCAAATATATTTTGGGCGGTTTGAGTATTTGTGTTGAGCACCCATTACCCAACTTAAATTTAAAAAATAAATAAAGAAATTAAATTCAAGAAATACGACTCTTGTTTCCGGCGACTTCAGCGATAACTTTTGTTCTTCTGCCCGAATAAATCACCACCACCTCCTCCTTTGCCACTTGTACTCTTGAGCAAATTCACAAGTCTCCTTTCACAAATGGAACCACACCACCCTAGATATATATTCACATCTCTCCTTGATTTATATTCAACCACGCTTGGTGTTTGATATATTGCCCCAATTGGCCATTGTTTCTCAAAGTCTCTTATCGATGATATAGCTTGCTTGAGATTTCAGAAAACCATGCCACTAACAAATATTGTTTTAGAAAACACGGAAAATATCGGCCACCACCTCTAGAAAGCATATCAGAAATGCAATTGCAATATAGAAACCTATCCAGATCATTGGCTGAGCATATTGTGCTAGTTCTTGTAAAGTCCGCTGGCATGCTTCATATCGTTTTTGGACTACTTCACAAATTGTGCTTTCATTGGAGCTTTTCAAATGAATTGGATAGTGATATTTGAACTAATTGATTGAGAATTGTCTCTCTCTCATCAAAATTTCACTTTAATTAAGGCGTGATTGGATTTTTGATGGGACTAGAAATAGTTTAAATAGTTAGTGCATGCGTATATTTGTGAAAGTCTATTAGTGTGTGTTTTAGTGTATAAAAATAATGTATTTCTAAAGAACTTAAGAAGCGAGTGTGTGCTTGTATATGTGAAAGTATTTTAGTGTGTGAAAATGTGTTTATGTGTGTGAAAATTTTTTTTGTATGTAAAAATATATTTAAAAGAATTTATGTATCAAAATCTATTAATTAATATATTGGGTCATATTTGAGTCATGGGTTTGAGATAGCCCAATATGACTCAACCCAAAATTAACCCAATCTAAAGTTGGGCGGGTTGGATATAACCTATTTAAATGAAAACCCAATATTAACCCGCCCAAAACCCGTCCAATCAGCTCAATTGCCGGGTATAATACCAGTTATCACCAATTTAGAACAATTAAACAATTAGAGATTTAATTGCTCTAACTGATTTTAAGTTATAAGATTAATTAACTATCAGGCGTTCTTAATATTCAAATAATATAATAATCATAAGAAATTAAATCAAAGGATATATGAATATAAGTGAATAAAAGAAATAAAAATAATCAATTCAATCTCACAATTTTAGATGAACCAAATCCTCCGTTGTTCCTTGACTAGAATAAAGTGTTTAGTTGATCGTCACGGAGAAAGTCATGAGCAAAATAGTTGAACTAGTTGCCGAGAGCATTCTTCTAAAATACGATGAAGCACCCGATAAGAAGAAAAGAAAACTTGCGTTCTACCACTACTAGTCTATTCGGCTGGAGAAAAGAAAAGCTAAGAAACGATGCTCCCTATTGTTCCGTTCTTCTTCTCCTACTCAACTACTTCTACTTCTAAGCGAAATCAAATTGACAACAAGTCAATGTCTCTTATCCGATAAAAAAGAAAAATACTATTCTCCCAGTAGGAGTAGAGAACTCTCCATGCGGTAAAACATCTGACTCGTGCAACTTCAATTGAATTTTGGAGATCAAGTGTCAAATTCCGAACTTCCCGGACGTACAGAATTTAGACTTTGACATGCCTATGCAGAACAGCAGAGTCACGGCTTTAATTTCCGTTTCATTCCGAATCCCTACAACCAGTGCCAATTACCAAAAATTAGTAGAATCTACCCATTAACGCAATATTTGGTAAAATAAAAGAGAGAAACAATCACAAAATTAATACTCTCCTTCGTCCCGATAAGTTTGTCGCACTTGGGAAGCTGTGATTTTTATTAACAGTGCATCGAAGCTTGCAACTTTTGTTTCACTTTACACGTTTGCCCTCCAATGTGTAATGCATACAAAGAAAGTTATGTTGGAAATTTATTGGTGTGGGGCCTATCTATTTTGTTTAGCTCAAAAATCCATGACCAAAAAGCACGTATCAACAAACGCATGGCACACATTTTGGGGTGTCTTTCACGCACCAAATTGTGGTGCTTCCTTTTTACATTGACTTTTAAGTTAAAGTTGTAGGACCCATATTTTAAGAGGGTAAATGTTGAAATTGGATGTAAACAAACTTTCTATTTTGGGTATGTGACAATTATTTGGGGACAGATAAAAAAGGAAAGTATGACAAGAACGGAGTAATAAAAATGCAACCTATCTATGCGCCTGTACAATAATATATCAAACACAAACAGCCAGACTTGGTACTTATATCTTATACAAAAACTTCTACTAATACTAATAAAGAATTCATACCCACATGGGCCATCTTAATAAAACCAACCAATCACACTAAAACCACATGGCAACATAAATAAATAGCAAAAGTTTGGTTTATATTTCTACAAGAACCACTTTGAAATTGTCTGACTCGTAATAGGTACACTATATAGTAGTTGTACCTGTTTTCGCATTTTTGACTCATAGACACAAGCAGAGGTTCCCATGTTCTCCAATGTCGCAAGATGAGAAAATCGTTTAGCATAGGAACTTATGGATACATACCTCAACAGGTACATGAGGTGTTTAGGAATCATCAGCTTGCTTTGTTGTGTGTTCACCTATAACTTCATTTTTGTGTTTCAGGTGCAAACAATTCTTTCCATGGAATGCGGTCTCAAAACATTTACAGTAGTTTAATGGTGAAATATTTAATTTTTCTTTCAGTGAATTTCAGGTGTTCCATGCATTTTTTGTTGTTTTGACCTCTGATGACATGGAGCAGGTAAATTCATGAAATTTCTCTTTTGCTTAATACAACTCATTGAAAAACTCTTGGTTGACCTTTCTGATCTCCCATACCCTTTTCATGGGAGTTATTGCATAGAAAATCATAAAATAGTTCATCATACAATTGTCATGTTGCTGTATATGATGATCACCATGTGGGTGTTTTTTGGAAAAATGTCTATGCTAATGGAAATTGTCGCCCAGATCCTTGCCAATATTCTATAAATTCTCCCATTGGTACCCCATTTCTTAAAGTTACATTATGATAAATGCAGGCTCTCAATCGAGCTGATGGTAAATCCGAAAATAAAGGTGCTAAAGCAACGCTTACAGCTAAAAGCCAATTTCCTTTTGTTGACTTGCTTTCTTCTTGTCTCTTCATTTTCTTGTCATTTTACTCCATAGAATATTTATTTGCAATCTGGCGAATTGTTTGCTTTGTGGATAGTATCTGGTTTGTGTTCCGTTTAAATCAAATGTCATCAATAAAGAACCTTTACTGTTTTTCTTTTTGGTTTGGATCCATTTGAAAGGGGTGATTTGACGAATTTCTCTGTCTCTACTAGGTTTGGCCCCTGTAAGAAGCCTTCTCTCAATGTAATTTAGTATAATACAGACAATAGTAATGCTTGGAAAGGGGCTTCTTACTTAAGCAGTGAGGTATCAATCATTCAAAATGAATTACCTTTTGAGTTAAAAATGGGAGTAATTTAAAGAAATCTACACAAACTTGCATACAATAGGACAATAATAATTTGAAGAAACAAAGACTGGTTATGTCACACTTGAAAGTCAATCTGGAAATTGTTAAGGATACAAACGGTTTCAACAAATGATTCTAAACAAAGCATATGGATGTGGCTCTTCAACCATATTTGCAATTATTTGAATTTTAAATGCACCTAAGTGAAAAGTTGCCGTAGGGATTGATCCTCCAATGCCTCCTGCTGTAGCTTCAATTTTGGGCCATCAACGAGTATTATCTAGAAAACAAAGGACAAAAGCAAAAAAAAAAAAAAAAGGATAAAAAAGACATAAATGGAATTCCAAACTCAAGAGGCTATAGTTAGATATTGTTAGAAATTTAAAGTTACATTTACTAGTTAATGACTTACATCTTCTCAATAAAAAAACCCACTCTAAACTATTAATGAATATTTCATATTTTCATTATACCTATGGCTACGTTAACACTTGATTCATTATTAAGCACATGTCATATTCTACAAAGTAGGCCTTAGTTTGTTGTAATTCTAGAAGTAGTAATTATTTGACTTGAAAGATGAATAGATACATCAAAAAAAAATGTGTGAATAACCATACCTGAGCGGATTAATATTCATCAGATATGTCAACTCGAGGAATGTGTGATATCTTTATCCAGTCATCTCCTGTTTTACTAGAGTAACGATCACTCAACTTGAAGCAATTCCGAATATCCAATGTTTTGAGAGATGATATCCTTCCGAGGATGCGATGTGGCAAAATTTCAACCTTTTCACAATCATAAATTTTTAGCTCCTCCAGATGTGGCATGATAGAGATAGCAAGTTCTTCATCATCTTCACTTAAGTCTTCCCAATTTGTCCAATTTTGGAAGTAAGAAAATCGTAATTTTCTCAAATTCGGAAATGCTACTGCTTCAGTTAAGGATGATGGCTCAGAGTTTGACAATGCATCAAAAGTTTCATGACTATTCTCATGCACTGCTTTTGTAATTCCAAAGAATGCCTTACTCAAACATTCTAGCTTTCCCACTCCAATGAGCCCAAGTTCTTCTAGGGACGACAACTTCCACAAGGCAGGCAAGGATGAGATATTGTAGGCCTCATTGATAATTAGCTTCGTCAAGTTATTGACAAGAGACGTCGTCACAAGCCAACTTGGTAACTCGTTTCCTGGACAGCGAGTTAGCGCAAGTTGTTGCAAGTTTGGAGGTGGTTCCACGCTTTCAATGCAACTTGGAGTTTCTATAAAGTGGACCCTATTGCTAAACAACAAAGACATTTCACGCATGTTTTTTTTCTTTCCAAGTTCAGCACTCCCAAAATCTACTTCTCCATGAATATGAATGATCAATCTTTCCAGTTGGTTCAAGTCCTTCAAAATTGCCAAATCATCAGAGTTGCCCCTGGTGATGAACTGAGTCAAAGTACAAAGTGAAGTAAGCTTCCTAAGTCCTTGTGGAATTTGAAGTGATTCAGAGGTCCCAAAATTGAAAAGGTGCCTCAAGTGTACAAGGCCTTCAATCCTTTGAGAAAGGCATGAAAGCTTTCTACACATAGTGATGTCAAAAGTTTCCAAATAATATAGATCACATATAGCTTCTGGCAGTGTCACAAAAGGATTCCAACTTAAGTCCAAGTGCCGAAGATGAATCAAACTTCCGATCTCGGCTGGGATTTCAACTATCTCACAATCACATAAAGCCAGGGTCCTCACGCACTTCAAACTGCAGAACAAATCTTGGGGCACTACTCTTCCACGTGGAAGAGCAAAAAAGCTCCTGAGCCTTCCAAAATCAACAACTAGAGAACTAAACATCCTCTCAGTGCCAAGCCACGTTAGATGACGTGCTCTTTCACTAGATGAATTTCTTCCAATGCCTTGTTCATAATCAATTCCATCAAGTACATGACATAATTCATTTTTTCTGAGAAATTGTGCAAAATCATGTACTATGTCATGCATCTTGCACAATGTAAAATCATGAACTAGAAAGAACTCAACTTTTCGTAATTCTTGAAAAAAGGAACGCATTGCCAAATTGTCGAAGTACTCATGGCCCACCAGTTCCAAGCGCTCACCTCTTCGCCTTGGGCGAACATAACCTTCTGCTATCCACATCCCAATAAGCTCTTCTACAAATATCGAATGATCTTTGGGAAAGACAGCACAATAGGAGAAGCAATGTTTCAGCTCCGGGGACAACTCGTTATAGCTTAAATACAAAAGAGGGAAAAGTTCCATAGTTGCTTCCTCCAATTGCCATATCTCACTATCCAAAATATTCTGCCACTGCTGTACGGTATCTTTGAACCGTAACAGGCTTCCCATGGTCTTTGCAGCAAGTGGCAAGCCCTTGCACTTTTTCGCAATTTTTTCCCCAATGCTTTCCACTTTCTTACACCCCCAAATGCTATCCTTTGATCTTCCATCAAATGCTATCCTTTGCATTATTAGCCAACAATCGGAGTCAGAGATCAGGCTCAAGCGGTGAGTATCAGTCGATCCCATCACTCTGGCCACTCTTTGACTCCTGGTTGTCACCAAGATTACACTTCCGGAAGCCCCATCCTTAAGAGAGTCTTTGAAAGGTTCCCACTTTGAGTCATCCTCTGTCCAGACATCATCTAGGACAAGCAGGAATCTCTTACCAGAAAAAGTTTCTTTTATACGTTGGATCAAAGGATCCAACTCTGATTCTTGAGAACCAGCATTCTCAAGGATAGCTTTCGCAATCCTTTTCTGGTCAAAAGGATCTGATACACAGATCCAATTTCTAAGTTCAAAGTGATTCTTCACTTTATCATTATTGAAAAGTAGCTGGGCAAGTGTGGTCTTTCCACTACCCCGACCCCTACTATAGAGATAACTTGAACCCCCTTTCTTCCTTGACTACTACTCTTCGACAAAACTTGGTCAAGTAAAGCATTCTTATCAGCTTCTCGACCATATATCTCTGATTCGTCGATGATTGAGGTAGTCATAATTCGCTTAAAATCTTGAGAATCAGGGATCCCCCACTTGAAATAAACTTGAATTGATCTGCCTCTTTCAAAGTTAATTCTAGCTGTTCATTTATTTTCTTTATTTTCTGGGCTATATCACTACGCACAGGAACTTGTTTGAGACAAGAACAAAGGGATGGGATGAGGGAACGAACCTTGATCCACAATGTTGGCTGAATTCTGGCATTCTGATGAGTTCCCTCATTCTTTGCTCTGTGAATCTTGAAGTTCCATTCGTCCAGCACATTGTCCATCTCATATGTTATGTCTTCCAGCTTTTCGAGCCAAATTCCCACAGGTTCCTCCTTCAGCCTTCGTCTCTCTGCATCATGCAGCACTTTTTCAATGGTTGCCAACTTAGAGGAGATATTTGCAACCTCCTCTTCAACCCCCATCACCAGGTTGACTTTCTCCCCAAACTGCTTCACGAGAACATCACTCAATTGATCAATTATCTTTGGAACAATCAATTCAGCCATTGTTTATGGTTGTTAGCTAGGAATTTGTGTATTTCGAAGTGGATAACTGTTTGTTTGTTTAGAATTAGAAACAACAAATATGTTCAGGCATTTATAGATTGGATGGCATAAAAAATTCCTTACTTTGATGCGCAGTCAATTAAAGAATAAAGAATTCCTTATTCTAGTGTTTGGAATCAGAAAACATTGACGTTAACCTTGCACACAACATTAAAGAGAAAAGCAAAGCTGCGTATCCCTCTTTTGTGTTGTTGAATTAATTGAAAAGCGTAAAACATGTGAAAAAGTGTAAAACAAATTGTCAGGATTCTTATATTTACAAAACGAATTGCTAGTTTTTTGAATACAAATATTATTTAAGGGCAACAAGTATCAATTTTCCCAAATGAAATGAAATTCAATATGAGAAGTGACAAAAATGCAACGTGTGACCCTAGTTTCTTCTCGTATCTTTTTCTTTTTTTCTTTTGGATAATGTTATTTGTCATAAAGTATCTACTCTATACTTTTAGGTGATCTATATAAAAGGGTCATATAACAATAGTACGATATCTGTTAAAGGTTGTTTTTATTTGTTAAGGATTTATTTTTAAACATTTTAACAGGTGCTCATTGGATACTCTAACCTCTCATTTCATGTGCGAGAATGCTCATAATGGACGGATCTTTGCATCTGAAATGGTAGGGGAAAAATTATCGTTCTAGAGTGCCTAGTACACAAGTTAGAGTGGAATATTCATTCATTTTCTAGTATTTATTATAATCAATATTTAAATGTCAAAATAGAATATAATTAATAGAATTTTTACTTGGTTACCCATGATTAATTTATAGGGCATAATATGCTTTATTACTTCTGTTTTATTCATTATACTATATTTTATGTTGATTTACATAAAATTTTGACATTTTTGGAATAATTGAAGATTGATATTAATATTTTTCAATTGTAATACTTGATTCATTCTCCATGTAAATTTTTTTTGCTAAAACTAACAATTGCTTAGGATTTCCATGTAGCAAAAGCAGCTTGAGGTTATAATATATATATATATTCTTTCGTAACGATTCATGTCACTACTAAACTTTTTCTTTTTCCTTTATTTCAATTTGAAGATAAAAAATTTAGAAGCTAACTTGTGGATTACTTACTATGCTTTGCAGTAAAGCAATTCTTTGTCGTTTGATACTGTGAATGAAACATGTAACTGACTTAGATGAATCTTTCAACCGTGCATTCAAGGTTTCCCTCTTATATGAATTTGCTTGAACCACAATCTCAGAATCACTTGCATGATTTTTCAAACAAAATTCTGAGCTATAGAAATGAGATGGAAACCATCCACCATTAAAGTATTCATTTCCTTTTGAACAATGAAGGGATCTTCTTCTAGCCTTCTTTTTACTATTCTTTTCTCCTTTACCATATCCACGTAAATTTCATTGTTGCGTGCAAGGCTAATTAATCACATTTTACCCAGATATATGCTCATGAGGCCATTTATCAGGTACTAAATTCTTCATACAAGTTTAATGATCAATATCATGTCAATGATTAATATTTATTTAGGTTAATTTAGACTATATATTTCTAATTTTAATGATCATTAAAAAAAGAAGCCTTACTCACAATTTAATTTGCGAGACATTGGATGAAGTAGAATAAGTTCAGGTATTTATATATTAAACGGCACAAAAAATTTCTTACTTTGATGCACACTCAATTAACAATACAGCATTCGTCTTGATCTATTTTAACAAAACAACTGATATTCATATTCCAGTGAATCCAGTTGTTGGAATCAAGCAAAAATTGGCGTAAACCTTGCACCAAAAAAATGCAAAGTAAGGTCGCGTATTTCTTTGCAAACTGTATCCATGATTCTCTTAATCTATCCCATTTTTTGTATTTGAGTTAATTGAAAAGTGTAAAAAATCTGATGAAAGTGAAAGCTGCTTCATTAATATGCAGTTACAAATTATCTTTTTTAAGCTAGCTGGACTTATTTTGGAACTACATAAATATTTATTATTTTCTAAAATAAAGTCCATTTCTCATTATAATGTTAAATGACTTAAAACCATCTTATCTTTGGATTTATAAACTTAGTCTTGTGAATAAGTATTACATTACCAAATTACATAATGATGTTTGATTAGACTCAACTAATTATGAATTATTTGAAATATGTGAATCTTATTCACTAATAAAAGATTAAGTTGATCTTTTATATGAAAAGTTTAAAGAATTGTTTAAAATTCATATTATAATATATGTGAGATATTAACAATTCATGTTAGAATTAATTATTTCTCATACTTTACTATTTATATTAATGACTACTCAAAAAATGAATATGTGTGCTTTCTAAGTACAAGTAGGGGTGTAATCGAGCCAAGTCGAGCTCGAGTATTGCTATACTCGAGCTCGACTCGACTCATATACACCAAAGCTCGAGCTGCAACTCGAGCTCGAACGAGCCCAAAAAATCGATACTCGAGACTCGACTCGAAAAATTTCCTTTAGGCTGGAGGCTTGACTCGATACTCGAGGCTCGAAAATTTTTTTCATTTTAGGTCTTTTTACAATTATGTTATTACTTTTTTGCCATTATAGGATTTTATTATAAAGAAGGATATATTGTAAATTTCATATAACTTATACCCATAATGGTCATTTTATAATTATAATACATATATATTATTTAAATTATAAATATATTATTTAAATAACTCCGGCTCGTCGAGCTACTCGACTCGACTCGAGCTGGGCTATTTCAACTCGAAACTCGACTCGATTTTCATTCGAGTTACTCGAAACTCGGCTCGAACTCGGTCAACCCGAGTTCGAGCGGAGTCGTTGACCGAGCTACTCGCGAGCTACTCGCGAGTAGCTCGGCTCGCGTACATCCCTAAGTACAAGTTCAATGTATTTGGGAAGTTAAGCGGTTTTAAATAGAAAGTAGAGGAATAAATTAGTGAAATGTCAGAACACCTAAATATGATCGAGGTGAAAAATACCCAATCTAAGGTGAAGTATTGGAATACTAAAATTTGATCAAAATGGAGAATGCTTAGTTCAAGGGTTTCCAAATTATTTAAAAGCAATGAAATTCTCAAGTAAAATAATTCTTCTAAGATATCTCGATTATTATTGAGTAATCTAGAAAAGAAATTATTTCTTATGAGATAAGATGTCCCATGCAAGTTCACAAAAATAGTTTTGGAATTTGTCCTAGATAAAATTGCCTCTTGTACACTAAATTTTGGAGTTTTTCTTTAGAGGGCCTGGATTGGCTTTTGATTCAAATATTCACATAGCATGATGTAAGAAACAAGATTTAGTTAATTCATTATAAAATGCTATTCTGAGCCGATCCCAAGTTCTTTTTCTTTTCTTGTTTTTAGATCTTTCCTAGGGTATTTATGTTGGTCAAACTGCTGCCTTTTGCATTGACATATAATGGACAAAATTAAACACAACACTACTAATGATAGTAGAGTAAAATGGTCATTTTCAATAATGCACATATTGTGGCACGTGACTAGCTCATTATAAATTTTCATTTTTCATTAGAGGTCCTAGATTGGCTTTTGATTCAAATATTTACATAGCATGATGTAAGAAACAAGATTCAATTAATTCATTATAGTTTGAACTGATACCAAGTTCTTTTTTATTATTGTTTTTAAATTTTTTTTAGGGTATTTTTTTTTTTTGGTGGAGCTATTGCCCTTCACAGTGACATATAATGGATAAAATTAGACATGACTCCAATGATAATAGAGTAAAATGGTCATTTTTAATCGTGCGCATACTATGTGCGTGACTAGCTTTGTTAAAAAATTTTAAATTTTTTATTAGAGGCTCTAGATTGGCTTTTATTGAAATATTTACATAGTATAACGTAAGAAACAAGATTCCAGGAAGCTGGATCAAATCTAGATTCAAGCATCTTTATCGTCAGTCCTCACCCTATATTTACCATTTTTCATGTAAAAACAAATAACCAAATTCCTCTTACTCTAAACAGAAATTGGATTTGGGTACAATTAATTACAATGGCGACAAGAAGGACTATGAAGTGCATTATCCACTGTATAACCACATATTCACAATTTCACAGTTGGACGCCAAAAAAAAAAAACTCACCAAAGTACTACCCACAGCAACAAAAATTAGATTCTTGGGTCGAACAAAATGGCAATGGTAAGGGAGAAAATATTTGAGTCAAATAAATTGGCAAATATTAGGGAAAAAAATCCCTACCGCAAAAGCCTTAGCATCTAAATTGGAAAACAACATTCACTCAAAATTTGAATTAATGAAGGGAAAAACATGCACTATTAATGAAGGGAAAGGCATGCCTCACTAATGTGAGTTGTCATCGATGATTTGTATTGTCGTTTTTATTCACTTTTGTCCTTTGCTCATAGATACTAAAGATTCCATTCAAGTACCCTTCTCTCAATCAGGATGAGACTTCAACTGCTTGATTTAAGTAATGAATGAATTTATTGTAGTTCTTAATCATTTTTGTCCTTTGCTCAAAGATACTAGTAAAAGATTCCTTATCCTTCACACAATCAGAATAAGACTTCTATTTTATTTAACATAACTAATGGTGATAAAAGAATTTTATGTATATTTCAAAGATGTCAATGTTGATTAAAGTTTAATAGACTGCGTATATAGAAAACAAGATGCACAAATTTTTCTCTAGTGAAGAATAACCAATCGTGTGTGCTTTTGTGTTCTTCAAAAATCGCCTCCGCTTGGATTAGCTGTTTTTGGAGGTTTTTTTTAAAAACTTTACTGTAACTTTGTATATGAAAAACTTTACTGTAGATGTTTGTGGATTGTTTTTAGAGATATTTTTAAAATATATTTTTGAATATTTTTATAATTTAGAATTTGTTGAGATTCTTTTTAAATATATACTGGCTTTGTTTCTATATATTAATGTTTATTTATTTATATATATAATATTTTTATTCAA